AGCCCCTACAGCCTACCAAAGTCAGCCCCAGAAATCATCCCAACTTCACTCTCCTCCATCCTCCTCCATCCCTTCATTAATAAGTCCGGCCAAAGCGACCTACGGCCCCAGCCAGCCCCTACAGCCCACCAAAGTCAGCCCCAGAACATCCCCAACTTCTTCCATCCTCTATCCCTTCATTAATAAGTCCGGCCAAAGCGACCCTTGGCCTCAGCCAGCCCCTACAGCCCACCAAAGTCCACCCCAGAACATCCCAACTTCACCCTCCTCCATCCTCCTCCATCCCTTCATTAATAAGTCCGGCCAAAGCGACCCACGGCCCCAGCCAGCCCCTACAACCCACCAAAGTCCACGCCAGACATCTCAACTTCACCCTCCTCCATCCCTTCATTAATAAGTCCGGCCAAAGCGACCCACGGCCAGAGCCAGCCCCTACAGCCCACCAAAGTCAGCCCCAGAACATCCCCAACTTCTTCCATCCTCTATCCCTTCATTAATAAGTCCGGCCAAAGCGACCCACGGCCTCACTCTTCTCCATCCTCTTTCAATTGGCTTTCTTATTTGAAATGGAATGGAAAGACAAGCACCAGAATGGCTGAAACAACAACAACAACAACAACAACAACAACAACAACAACAACCATATTGGGCAGAGGAGGCTTTCGGGCGCCTTGGTACGGGTAATAATTTCTATTTATCAAGCTGCTAGAGGGTTTAGGGTTTAGGGTTTAGGGTTTAGGGTCCGCCAACACAGGTTGGCGCCCAGGCAAAACCTAACGAATGCAAATAGGCCTGCTAACAAAGAAACTTGCGCAATCACCTCTTTTAGTCCTTTATGTATATATAGTGTTCGCCCTACGCCGGACATTTTCTTCTAGATCTCTCCAGAACTTTCCAGAACGCTCCAGAGGGAGCGCGCCCTACGCCGCAAAACCGATCTAGATCGAACCCCCATGATCTGGAACGCTCCAGAGAAAACTATCCACGCGATCTAGAGCGAACCCCCATGATCTGGAACGCTCCAGAGGGAGCGCGCCCTACGCCGCAAAACCGATCTAGATCGAACCCCCATGATCTGGAACGCCCCGAGAAAACTACCCAGGCGATCTAGAGCGAACCCCCACGATCTGGAACGCGCCAGATAAAATTACTGCGCCCTGGCTCCCAAATTCGGATCTAGATCGAAACCCCATGATCCGGAACGCTCCAGATAAATTTACCCGATTGATCTAGATCGAACCCCCATGATCCGGAACGCTCCAAATAAATTTACCCGATTGATCTAAATCGAACCCCCCCTGATCTGGAACGCTCCAGAGAAAACTATCCACGCGATCTAGAGCGAACCCCCATGATCTGGAACGCTCCAGAGGGAGCGCGCCCTACGCCGCAAAACCGATCTAGATCGAACCCCCATGATCTGGAACGCTCCAGAGAAAACTACCCAGGCGATCTAGAGCGAACCCCCATGATCTGGAACGCGCCAGATAAAATTACTGCGCCCTGGCTCCCAAATTCGGATCTAGATCGAAACCCCATGATCCGGAACGCTCCAGATAAATTTACCCGATTGATCTAGATCGAACCCCCATGATCCGGAACGCTCCAAATAAATTTACCCGATTGATCTAAATCGAACCCCCCCTGATCTGGAACGCTCCAGAGAAAACTATCCACGCGATCTAGAGCGAACCCCCATGATCTGGAACGCTCCAGAGGGAGCGCGCCCTACGCCGCAAAACCGATCTAGATCGAACCCCCATGATCTGGAACGCTCCAGAGAAAACTACCCAGGCGATCTAGAGCGAACCCCCATGATCTGGAACGCTCCAGAGGGAGCGCGCCCAACGCCGCAAAACCGACCTAGATCGAACCCCCATGATCTGGAACGCTCCAGAGAAAACTACCCAGGCGATCTAGAGCGAACCCCCATGATTTGGAACGCTCCAGAGGGAGCGCGCCCTACGCCGCAAAACCGATCTAGATCGAACCCCCATGATCTGGAACGCCCCAGATAAAATTACCCATTTGATCTAGAGCGAACCCCCATGATCTGGAACGCTCCAGAGGGAGCGCGCCCTACGCCGCAAAACCGATCTAGATCGAACCCCCATGATCTGGAACGCCCCAGAGAAAATTACCCAGGCGATCTAGAGCGAACCCCCATGATCTGGAACGTAAGATTGCGCAGGGTCCCAACTTAAGCACATGGCCGCGAAACTTAAGATTTCCAGCCGTGATTTAAGCATGGCCCGGGCAAACTTACGCACAACCCGGCTAAACTTAAGATTGCACAGGGCCTGAACTTAAGCACGCGGTCGCGAAACTTAAGTTTTACGGCTACGGTGAGCACGATCCGGCCAAATTTAAGTTAAGCACGGGTCCCGAGGCCCCAGCTTGAGTTTACAGCCCCCAAACATGAACTTAAATTCACAATTTCCATGCCCGAACTTAAGTTTGCATGCCCCAGGCCCCAATTTAGATCCATAGCCCCCAAGTCCCAACTTAAGTTTACAGGCCCCCGGCCGAGGCCCCAACTTAAGTACAGGTTGCAGGGTCTAGGAAATCGCAGATTAAAATCTTTTTGGACCGGCTTTGGAGATTGGTGCTCCTCAGCTTGAAAAACGGCCGCCAAACAAACCTAAATACACGAACCAAGGCGCCCATGATCCACCATGACCAGCACCAGGATGCTGACGGCTAAGTCCTCCGGACAGAGCAAGGCTCGCAATGACTGGAGCGGGAATCAAAAACATTCGACCGAAAGATTAACCCAATGACTGCACAAATTGATATTGATTAGTTTTGCATGGCAGTGCACGACACGCAGAATGCAAAACTTGCAAAGCGGCTGACCCTTTTAGATCCGACAGCGCCAGGTTCCGTTGCAAGAGGACGCCCGCATCACTTCCGCTGGGTGTGAGACGCCCTCAGCTTTTCCCAATAGAATTCCGGGACCGTCACGATGCTTTGCAGGTGAGCCTGGCCATCCAGAAGAACACATATTTCCCGGTTGCGGCTCTGCACGCGGTCCTGAGCTGCCGCGGCCATGGCCACAATTTGCGCGAGCCCTTTCAGGGTCGACTCATAGTGGTCCACTCGGTTGAGGCGCAGCATGACCGAGCCAGCCACAGTCGTGAACACGGCTTCAGATCTGTCATCGTCAATGGGGTTGAGGCTGCACGTCACGACCAAGGGCGGTGGAACTTCTCGGACGTAGACTTCACCGGCGGGGTAGCCAACCCAATAGCCACAGTAACGCAGCTCTTGAGCGGCGTAAACAGCCACGGCTGGGTTGTCTGCGCACCATTTGTGAAAGCGACACTTCAAGAACTCTTGCTCCACAATGTGAAAGCCGGGCATGAACCATCCGGGGGCATCTTGCGTGTCGTGGCATGCGGTACCTGGGTTGAAGGACGTCCAGGCACAAGGGTCTCCATCCAGGCATCGGCTCCATTCAAGACGGCGGTCACCCATGCTGCACTGGGAGGGTGCGCCGGCCTCTGATGCCGAAAAGCGTATACCGTATGAGATTGGGCCTCAATAGGATTGGCTGCGGCACGAATGCGCAATCCCTGAATTAGACAACGTATAACAGAAAAAGGATCCGTGCATTGACGTCGTGGAAACAACAGACGGCTTTCAATGACAAACCACCGCCCGCGGTCCTGATCGCGTCAAGGCGGCTCTGCACCAGCCCGGAGCGTCGCGGCATGGGCAGGAAAGATTCATTAGGATGGGGAAAAGTACAGCCAAAAAGCTTTAGGATGCATCCAGCCGGCCGGTTCATCATAGGACAATTGAAACCGGGGTCGGGAACCTATCTCGGGCACGCCTAGTGTGAGCCGCTCTATAGCTAGCATTACAAAAGCTGTCCCGGAAATGTTGACGATACCGGCTGTCCTCGTGGCTGTCAATGGTTGAAAAACTAAGGGTTGAACTCTTTTTGCCCAGATGGCATGCTGCGGCTAGATTGAGCAGAAATGGCCGCAGCGAGTTGCAAATAAATATGGGCATTGAAATGTATTTGAAGTAAACGCCCGCACGGTCATCCAATAGCAAGAACCGCTCTTGACACTTTACAATTTTCTCGGAAAGGCGGTCCGCAAACTTTTGCTTCTGATAGAGTGGCCGCTGCTTGTTTTCACCTGATGCGGATCAGTACCAGTCACAAGCGGTATGGACCTGCACACTGTACACAATAAAGCTGGCGCTTTGACCGCTTTCAATACCTGCGGCAGTCGGGGCAATTGCGGGGTGGACGCTTGCCGTCGGCTGCGGGTGGTGCTGTAAACTTGCGCTTGCAGCCCCGGCAGGTCTGCTCGCCTTTCTTGCGGTCTTGCGTGTTTCGCGAGGCGCAATTCAAACAATTTCGACCCTCTTTCTTGCCTGCAGCTACAGTGGTTAAAAAGATTTTGTGGCAAACCCTACAAGCAAAGGAGCCGGTCCACTGCCTGTTCTTCTGTTGCCGAATTTCTTCTTGGCAAGCGAGACAAAGGATGCCCGCGGTCGGCATGGTGACCATCTCCGGCGCGAAGTCGGGCTGCTCCTTGGTCTCGAAGCAGTGGCAGCATTACATCTCCGCGCGTTGGACCTGCAGGCACTTCAAGCACCTTCGCAATGTGTTTGCGTCCTCTTGAGCCAGCTGTGCCCGGGGGAAGGCCTCGGCGATCTTCAGGGTGTTGCAGCCGAGGCACTCGTGCTTCTCGAGGCCGTCGCCCTCCACCTTGCGCCGGCGCTTCGACACCACGCCATCCTTGCAGCGTCTGCACATGCCCGCCTTGTTGGCCCGGATGAGCTCCCATTGCTCGAAGGCATAGGCGTCCATCGGCAAGATCTGTTGGCATTCTCTGCAAGTGGCACAGGGCCGGGTCGCTTCTCGCACGGCCGCCCAGTCGATGGCTTCGCCCCGCAACTTTTGCAGGAGCAAGTCGGGGCCTTGCTTGGTGAGCCCGCGTTGAAAGAGCCACTTCGGAAAGGGTCGCAAAATGAGGACGTCGTCTCGGCTCCGCACCCGTGTAGTTGCTACTGTGCCGATGGTCGGGTCCACCCGCTTGTCCACCTGCAAATCAAGAAGGACTGCGGGCAACGTCTTCCCTTCGCTGGCATGCGCGGTCATGGCATAGGCCGGGATCAAGGGCAACTGCTCCGGTTCACCTTGAGCGTCTTCATCTTGCGGCCACCGTCCAGGTACCAGTCCGTGGTCGTGGGCACGACCGGATAGATGCCTGGCTCGTTGGTGCCCTCCAGCTGCCAGGTTGCGCCCTCGAACTTAATGTACACCACGGAGGGCCGCAGGTTGTTGGGCAGCCATTCCCAGGAGTGAACGATGCCAACCGTGCCGCGGAGCAGCTGCTTGGGCCGATCGAGGTGCTCCGTCAAGGCGACGCGCATGCCGATGGCGAGGGGAAGCATACCGGGCAAGTTTCCGGTGTCCTTGTCGTGATAAGTAAGCCACCTCGGATTTATTTGGCGCAAGATGATGCACAAGAAACAAACCAAGAAAGTCCCAAAACAAAAGTATAGTGCTGAAGTTGACCCAAGGAACTTGATCTTCCTGTCCCTGTCGCAGACATCTGCTTTCAGTGCGTCGCTCGAAGCCACATCGGTCGCCTGGGACCAGAGCAGCTCTGCGTTGGCGTCTTTGGCATACTTCATGGCCCGGTCCTTGTTGATTTGGTACTTGGCATCATTGTTGGCCACGATCACGGGGGCTTCCTCGAAGCGGGGCAAGCGGAGTCGCGGGTCTTCAGGCCCGGTGATGACCCGGCGGCGGGAGGCGCGCTCCTCTGCTGATAGCTGACAGCCTTCTACGGGAATGCCGTGCAGGTAGTTGTAGTTCTTGTCCGAGAGGCGGCAGGCGCGGGTCTCGTCGTTGACCTCGTTCCACCAGGGGTCTTTGCAGCGCTCGCGCTCCGTCAGCTCCACCACGCCTTGGCAATCCTCCCACATCAGCCGTTGCCCGGCATCTACCAATGCATCTGGCGGCTTGCTGGAATCGTTGGGCCCAACGCGCAGGTGATGGGGCACGTTGGCCAGGTATCCGCCTTGCGGCGGCGGTAGCTGCTTGAAGTCGCCGATGAAGATGACGTTCACGCCGCCGAAGGGCCGGGCCTCACCAGCGCTGTCCGCTGACTCCGCTGATGCTGCAAACTTCCAGGGGTCGGTTCGCGGCTTGACCTGCCGCAGCCGCTGGTCCAGCACGGCGAGGAGATTGGCCGGTGCCAAGCTGATCTCGTCGATGAAGACCCAGCGCCAGTTGGCCATCTGCTGTGCTTTCTCGGGGCTGACGGCTTTGTCGAAGCTGCGGGGGTTGCAATTCAAGCCGATGGCGTCGTGGATGGTCTTGCCTGCGAGGTCCACGGCGTTGGTCGCTTGGAAGGCCACGAACTCGTAGTCGATGCCCTTCTTGTACCCGGCCACCTCGAAGAGCTCCGTCAGCAGCTTCACCGCGTGGGATTTGCCTGTGCCCGGCGGCCCGTGCAGGAGATAGCGCAAGGGTTCCAAACCTTCTTCGCGCATGGATTCCTCCCTGGGCCCAGCAGGCCCAGCTCCACTTTGAGCCTGTCCGCGACCAGCTGGATCATGTCAAACTGCTTGGCGTTGACTCTGCTTCTCGTGCCGTCTAGCCAGTCGTCGATCATGCACATGGTCACCACCGGTCGCACCTCAGCAGGACAATCTATATGTTCAATGCCTTATAGTATTTTATATCGCTTTGTTCAGCAGGGCGCACTGGGAAACAAAGTCTTGCTTACAACATGTTGCAACACAATTCTCGCCTGCCTGCCTCCAGCTCCGGCTCCAGCACGTTTGCAACGAGACCAGCGCTCTTCTTCGCCTTCTTTTCGCTATTGCACGAGGCCTTTGCCGCTTGTAGGGCCAGCACGCGGTCGATGTCAGCGGCGCCAGCACTGCGCAGCATCTCCTCGTGGCGCTGGTAGGCAGCCTCATTGGTTCCGCTGCTGGGCCCTTGCCAGATGGCGCTGGAGAGGCCGAACATGTGCATCGTCATGTCATAGAGCCTGGTCGTTGGGGCCGGTGCTGCCTCCTGTACTTCTTCTGCCTGGCTGTCAATGCTGTCCTCATCTTCGGTGGGCTTGAGGCCGTTGCCGCGGACGTGGGTGCGCGTGGCCGCGAGCAGGTCGTCGCCCTCGAGGTGGAAGTCCACGAGCTCGTCCTCCATGTCCTCATTACCGGAGTTCTCCTCGAGGCCGTCTGTTGGGCGCAGCTGTCGCGGTAGGCAAAAGGCGAAGACGAAGTTGAGCACCTGGTGCTTCGCCGTCTCCGTCGGGAAGCCCACGCGTTCTGCATGCCTCAGGAGCACCTCCGTGTAGTCGGCTTTGGGGCCCACCAGCTCGTTGATGAAGGGGACGTTGGGCGAGGCGTCCTCGATGTTGTTCACCCACGGAAAGAAAAGCACGAGGAGCCGGGCTGCCTGCCCTGCCTTGGTGCGGCCGCTCTGCGCGCCGAAGATGACCGGGACGTAAGGCCAAAGGCGTCGTGCGATGATCCAATCGTGGCGGTAGGCCTGCACCAGCTTGCCATCGCCCAACGGCAGCCAATCTTCGCCCCCGGCTTCTTTGATGACATAGTCCATGCCCGCCAACAACTTCTTACCGGCAGTAGCATTCTCTTCGAGCTTCTCGATGCCTTTGCCGGTGAGCTCTGCATGGTACTTCTCCGGGCATTGGCTGTGCTTCTTCAAGCTGAAGGGGTACTTGGCCTGCTTCATCTGGAAATGCCTGGCGAAGTCATATGCAGAGAGACCATGGACTTCCGGTCGGTTGCCGCGGTCACCGTATGCGGTCCAGGGCGGGCACTCGGTGAGTTTGCGCCGGATGGGATTGCGCTTGTCCACGATGGCCTTGCAGGACTCCTTTGGCCACGGCTTCTCTGCGGCAATGTGGTCCAGGAGCTTCAGCGGGTGATGCAAAGAGATCTCAGTGACTTGCGCGGTCTTGACGGTCTCCGCGGCGGTGGGGTCCGCGTGTTCGGACATGATGTTGAGGTTGGTGGTCTCCACCGCACCGCGCACGATGCCTCTGCCGTAGCAATCGGTGATCAGGCGCTTCACCGTTCTGGCGCCATAGTAGCCCGCCTTGTTGTCCTTCAGGTCCTCGTAAAGGTGCTGCTGGCCCTTCATCATCTCCTTGGTCTCCTGGTTGGCGATCTGCGCGCGCTTGTTCTGGTAGTCGCACGCATAGCCGGCCTGCGCTGCCTGGGTGATCTGCGCGTCCCGGACCAGCTGCTCGAGGGTCATTTGCTCGTGGCACTTCTCCCGGCAGAGCTTGTGGTTGTGGGTGTCCTCGGTGATGGGGAACCGGTAGGGCAGCTGGACGTCGCCGTTGCACCGCAGCGCGCTCAGCAAGGCCGGGTGGTTGCCGTTGAGGTTGGGGTCGTTGCAAGGCCCCCACGGCAAGCCCACCATGCTTCGTTTGCCCTTGTGCGGCATGTCCTTTTCCTTGGCGAGGCTGGGGCAGATCAGGATGGGCTTCTCCGTCAACCACTCCGTTCGCGGAAAGTGGGCTTTGCATTTGGTGGGGTCTTTCGGGTCCTTGCAGTGGTTCAGGGGCTGCCTGATCCCCTTGCTGTCGGCGATGTGCACGTGGTGCTGCTTGTGCATCTGCAAGACCTCCACATCGGAGAAAGACGCCAGTCGCCAATCCGCAGCTGCTTTGTGTGGATCGCGCTGGTACTGCGGCCTGCTCGGCATCAGGGTGGACTGCTTGTACTCTGGCCACTGCGCTTCGATTTCTTCCCGCTTGTCTTCCCACTCTTCGGGGTGCTCATAGATCATCCTTCTCACATGCGCTGAATAGTCCGAATACTTCCGCAGGAGCTCCAGGAGCGGCTCTTGGCCCATCTCTACCAAGTCCTTCAAGGATCTGAACTGGTGAAAGCATTCCAGGAAGAATTGCCCATGTAGGTGATATGCACCACAGCGTTGACATTCCAGGGAGGCATAAACCGCATCGATCCGACCAAAGACGCCACCCCTCGCGGTAGTGCTGCTGCCAAATGCATCCATGCAGGGATTGTTCGAGCAGACGCAGTCCGGACACTTGGGGCAGAACTTGAGGCCGAAGATGTGCCGGAAAGCTAAGCCGACCAACACATAGAAGGCGTAGACGCATGCCAGCGGGTCCCTCGCCAGTAGTGCCCGCCTGGTTTCGTAGTCCGGTAGCTCCTTGCAGGACAGGGTGTAAAGGTTTCGCAGACCAAAAGATGCAAACACCTGAGCAAAACAGAGGGGCAAAAAAAAAGTAAAGATAACCTGCCTTAGAACCCAAAGTCCTCGGCCAAACGCTCCGGCGACAGGCGGCAGAATTCCACGTCCAGTTCTGGCTTCTCCCTGGAATACATGCTCTTGTTGTCGTCGCCGGCAATGGCGGGGTCGCTTTGCCGGACCCGCCCCATGCGAATGGCAAGGGCCGAATCCTTCTCAGAGGGGGAGAAAGTGATGAACAGCGGCGTTCCGTAGCAGATGCGATTGGCGTGCGTCTGGTGCCGCATGGTGCTTCGTACCGCGTGGGTGCCGGGTACTTTGCGGGTTCGGGCCTGGAGGTTGTTGAGGACGTGGTGGGCACCGACGGACAGGCCAGGCACATAGGACACCTTGTTCAAGTCGCCGTTGACGGGCTTCAGCTCGTTGCTGGTGTCCAGGTACATGCCGAGGTACAACTGTCTGTAGACTTCCTGCGTGGCCGCCTGAATTTCCGGGATGGTCATCATACGGCGGCCGCCGCCATCCTCGTCCAGCTTCATGAACATGTAGGCGTTGGGCTCCAGGTTGATGCGGGTGCGGAACAGGTAGTTCCACAACGTCGGGCTGAAGTTCCAGTCCCTGCGGAACTGCGCCGCTGCTTGGCGCTGCATGCTCGCTGCCCAAGCCTGAATGCTGACCTCTGGCGCGCGCTCGTTGCCCTTCTTCCGCCTCGACGGCTCCATCTCCGCCTGCTCGGTCTTGATGGTGTGGACCACGTCCGGCCCAGCCGTGGCGTGCTTGAAGAGGAAGCAGTAGGCTATTGCCCAGTAGCCCGGCCGGAACATATCCATCAGTTGGTTCCCGGCCCGCACCTCGTACGTCTCGAGCCCTGCGCGGACGCCGTCGTCCTTGAGGTCGGCCACCAAGTTCTCCAACGCCAGCTTCTCCGCTTCTTGCGCGTCCCGTTGGTCTTGTCCTTCAGCTACGACGGTGCGGGGTCGCTGGGCCGCAAAGGTCTTGCCGGCTGCTGCGATGTCGAGCTCTGGGGCGTCGCATGGTGTGGCCGCCTTCTGGGGCTGGAGCTTGCTGTCCATAGGCGCATCGTCATTGCCCATCTCCTCCTCAATGATGCGCAGCACCTCGGGCGGCACTCCGTCTTCGGGCAGTTCGACCGCTTTCTCCTGCACCTTTGCATTGTCCAAGTTGATGAAGGAAGGATGGCCCAGACGTTTCATCTCCATGATCAAGTCCACCACCACCTGGCAGGTCAGCGTCAAGTGTCAGAGGCATGTAAGTATGCATGTATGATGCGTGCATTTTCTTGTGCATGCATGGGTGTGCCTATATACACATGCTTTCACGAAGGGATGGTAGGATGCCTATTTTTTTTGCGCACACGACAGAACGGCTTAAGGCACCAAGTGCTTGCTAGCTATAGCCCCTTCCCAAGAAAAGGTCTGCACATGTGTTTGGACTCCCCCCGCGCCTGTCTTCGCACCCGCGCCTGGTGAATCAAGGGCTTCACCTCTTCCTCGGTTGTCTTACCAGTTTTGTTAGTCTTGAGAATGACGCGGAAAACCTCGCAGAGCTGTTTCCCACTGCGTGGCACCGCTTCGTCTGCATCCGGCCTTTCGATGTGCGCCGTCAGCTGTTGCAACAAGGCTTCCACCGGCAGCGGAAAGGTAATCGCATTCCCTCTGGCCCCAAAGCGGTGCCGGGCCATGTGCGCCTGCTCGTCGAAGACGGCAGTGCGAGGCTCTTGACGATGTTTGCTCTCCATGGATAACAAGACCATGCTGGTCAAACATGGCGAGGCACAAAGGAGCTCGATCGCGGTGACCTTCCGCTCGTAAATCATTTCCAGACCGTAACCAGTCCACATGTCGTTCGCATAGCTCAGTGGTGGGAGCTTTGCCTCTGACAGGTGGTCGAAACAGCCTGTGCAGATGGGGAGCCAGCAGTGTTCGCATAGGCCCCTGGGGTCCTCATGCGGCTCACTGCACCAACAATCCTGCAAGGGACGCATGAGGGGAACGAGGGTTGCGCATGTAAGACCATATAGCGCTAGAACTAAATATATGAACAGCCAATAAAAGAGGAACATGAACATTTCGCTGTCCCAAAAGGTGGTAGCAAGTCCTCCGGGCAGCAAAGGAGCACGCCATCGTCCAGTTCAGGCAATGTCACGCGCCAGTCCTCAAAATTTTCGTGGTCCGTGAGCTTGACCTGCTGATGGGGCTCCACTGCGTTGTACTTGGTGAGGTAGGGCTTCAGGCCAAGAAGCTCCTTCACGCTCTGCAATGGCTGGTTCAGGAACCGGAGCTCGCCGGTGGAGTCGCTGCGCTGCAAAGGCTGGTGCCACTTGATGGGGCCCTTGTCCTCGACGTCCTCCACCCGCGGATGAATGCAACCGCAGCACCAGCAGATCAGCGCCTCGACCTTGTTGCCTCTGCTGGCATCTGCGAAGCTGTACAGCGCGGTGCGGTCCAGGGAGGCGCCTGCAATGGGCGCTTGACTGCGGCATCTTTCAGCTATGGCCTGGTTGTAGGCGCTGTACATGGCATCAGGGGCCATGCCGCGCAGCATATGCCGGGTAATGGTTTTCAGATCCGTTTCGTGCTCCTCCTCCAGGTGTTGTTTGAGCTGCTCCTCCGTCCCAAGTCGCTCTGCCCACCGGCAATCCTTGAAGGCGCAAAAGACATTGGGCCACAGCCTACCAGCATCGGCTGAGGTCAAGGGCTCATCCGGCGGAATAGTTGGATGCTCGCGCAGTCGTCTCTCGGCTAGGTCCTGTCAGATTGTCGGGATTCTTGATGTAAGACACGAACCTTGTTTGCAGCTTATAACCGAAACCACACGCTTGAAACACCTGGCGGGCAAATTAGCATTCCTCAGATTACCCCCCGACACCATCCGACACCCGTCCTTGATGAGGTCCTCAACTTGCCTGTGCGGATGCAGCGAAGATTCTGCCACAGGAATATTTAGGAGCGCGTCCATGAAGCCCGGCTGGTTCTCATCGTCCTCCTCGTCCTCGTGGTCGTGCTGCGTGGCCACAGGCGTGGCGGACATGCTGGCCTCAGCTTCTGCGCTGCCTTTGTTGCCGTTCGCTTTGCCCCTGCTTTTGCCCTTCTTTGGTGGCCGCGGGGCATTGAAGCCATTCTTCCCAGATGCGCCCGAGGATTGGGCACCTGCAGACAAAGGTGGGAATTCGTCGCCAGCTGATGAGAAATACATTGGAGGCGGCGGCTGCGGCCACGCCGGCACCATGCCTGTGAAATCGGCAATCTCGATGAAGGCATCATAATGGTCCGTCCCGTTGTAGAGGATGTGCTGCACGGGCATAGCGGCATAGCCAAAGATGGATCCGTGGCTCACCTCCTCCACGATCACATGCCTTGCTTCTGCACGGTGGGTGTGGACGATAACCCTGGTGTTCTTCATGAGGCTATACGCGATGATGGCAGTGTGACCACCCCACTTGCTGGCCCTCAATTTGCTGGCCTCGCGGAACCAGGCATCCTCAAAACCATTCTGTTCCGCGGCACGCGCCTCCATGAAGTCCGCGACGTCGATGCGCAGCGCGCCGCCGTCGGAGGCATCGAAGAACGCCAGGGAGTGAAACAGACAGTCGCCGTCGCCAGCGACCTTGACCACGCTCATGGTCTTCGGGGCCTGGCAAGGTCACGAAAGCCCATGCGTATATGCAAGATAACATGTTCCTTCGCCTCTGCCGCAGCCGGTGCACAAGACGCTGACGCAGACGGTGCCATTGCAATGATCTGACCTGGCAAGCAAATATGTAATGCCCCTTACCTCACTCGCCACTCTTCCCTCCGCCGGCCTGTGCTATCAAAGCGATAGCGGAGCGAATTGCAAGGAAGCAAACAGATGCTTGAAAGGGCTGCAGCGGGCAGAGACAATTACTCATCTCATGTTATGTCTAATTCCGCAGGCAGCAAGCCAACTTTCAGAAAGAAATCTTTCCAATGATTCTAGCAAGTACAGGATGAAGCGCATGAAACAAAATACACGCTGCTAAGCAGAAGCTACACGACCCGTCTTTTTCGTCGCCGGGCAGCTCCAGAATATCATAATGCGAGGCTACGGCGACCGTCCTGGGCACAAGGGAAGAAAGTTTGCAGATTTCAAACAAACACTGCGATGGAAGATATTGAAGTTTGGTGATTATATAACTACTCGAAAGATGAACCAAATTGAAAGATAACCCGTGACCCGACTGCAGATGAGAAGAAACTGCACTAGAATTTAAAGCGCTCTTGCTGTCAACCTGCACGTGCCTATCAAAGTCTGTCCATACGCAGGCATCAATCGTAATCGCCGTGTCCGGCGTGTGCTCTGCCGTCTGTTGGATGAAGCTCAACTGTCGCCATTCTGCGCCGTCCCTTTCGCCCATGCCGGCGCTGATGGCGCTTGGCAGCAAGAGCTTCAAGAGCTTCAAGAAGCGTGCAGCCGATAAGTGCAGACTAATGCAGATCAATGCAGAGAAGGCGCACCATGTCGGACAAAGGCGCCCCAATGACCTGAGCCAAGGGGTCATTAGAGTTCTTCATAAAATGTGGAGGGATGTGCCAAGCCTGACTGGGGAGAGCCTCCAAAATGGGTGTCTCCAAAAGAAGCCCTTGACTAATGTGGATTTATGCCAAGTAATGCAGGCTAAGTGCAAAATCTCTTACGGGGTAAGTGCAGGCTATTTGCCGATAAGTGCAGACTAATGCCGATAAGTGCAGACTAATGCCGATAAGTGCAGACTAATGCCGATAAGTGCAGACTAATGCCGATAAGTGCAGACTAATGCCGATAAGTGCGGACTAATGCCGATAAGTGCAGACTAATGCCGATAAGTGCAGACTAATGCCGGTAAGTGCAGACTATTTGCCGATAAGTGCAGACTAATGCCGATAAGTGCAGACTAATGCTGATAAGTGCAGACTAATGCCAATAAGTGCAGACTAATGCCGATAAGTGCAGACTAATGCCGATAAGTGCAGACTAATGCAGATCAATGCAGAGAAGGCGCACCATGTCGGACAGAGGCACCCCAATGACCTGAGCCAAGGGGTCATTAGAGCTCTTCATAAAATGTTTAGTGATGTCCCAAGCCTGACTGGGGAGAGCCTCCAAAATAGGTACCCCAGAAACATGCCCCAAATCTAGCCTTGTAAGATACCCGTTTGTTGAAGGAAAATGGGCCAACATGTCTCCCAAAGAAGCCTTTGACTAGTGTGGATTTATGCCAAGTAATGCAGGCTAAGTGCAACATCTCTTGCGGGATAAGTGCAGACTATTTGCCGATAAGTGCAGACTAATGCCGATAAGTGCAGACCAATGCCGATAAGTGCAGACTAATGCCGATAAGTGCAGACTAATGCCGATCAATGCAGAGAAGGCGCACCATGTCGGACAGAGGCACCCCAATGACCTGAGCCAAGGGGTCATTAGAGCTCTTCATAAAATGTTTAGTGATGTCCCAAGCCTGACTGGGGAGAGCCTCCAAAATAGGTACCCCAGAAACATGCCCCAAATCTAGCCTTGTAAGATACCCGTTTGTTGAAGGAAAATGGGCCAACATGTCTCCCAAAGAAGCCTTTGACTAGTGGGGATTTATGCCAAGTAATACAGGCTAAGTGCAACATCTCTTGCGGGATAAGTGCAGACTATTTGCCGATAAGTGCAGACTATTTGCCGATAAGTGCAGGCTATTTGCCGATAAGTGCAGACTAATGCTGATAAGTGCAGACATGCCAATAAGTGCAGACTAATGCCGATAAGTGCAGACTAATGCAGATCAATGCAGAGAAGGCGCACCATGTCG